GTCGTTTCTACGTTCATAAATGGTCATTTGGTTGAGTTATGTGTTTGACATGTTTGAAGAACCAAGAATCATAAACCTTGAAATTGTTGTTAAAACTTCAAATTAATGGTACCAAAATGATCTATGAACCTTGGAGAACCTTTTTATATACTTTAATTGAAGTTTTGGTAAGTAAAATGACATTTCCGCAAATTGGCTCGAGGTAGAAGACGATGGATAATCAATTATCCACTTGAAAATCGATTATTCATCGTTCTGCAGATTTTTGGAACAAAGTTGAGCAATAATCGACTGTCAGAATTTGATAATCGATTATCAGCCCTCTCAGAAGTTTGATAATCGATTAACAGAGTGTGATAATCGATTATCAGCTCATTCTGAACATCAGATAGTAGATTATCAGAAGTGACAGTAGACTGTCTCCCTACACTATTGAAGAAAATGAAGCTAGTAATTAATAATTGAATTTCTTATCATGTATTAATCAATTATTGTTTAGAAAACATGATTTTTGAACTATGAAATCCTATTATTGATACCAATTAAACATGAATAATATAAATATGATTTTGTACAATAAAAATGATGTTTTGACATGTAAAACTGTTGAAACACGGGCTTGTTACGTTTTCGTACTAAAGCCGCATTCGTTTTTGTAACAGGTTTTGATAATGCCAAACCGCCGTGATTAAGACAAACATTGAGCATACAAGGCGAAGAACGAAGATAAAGAACGAGAGCTAAAAGAGACCAAGAACGAAGACCGAAGTCCTTAGCTTTGTTGAGTCGGTCATAATTGTAATCAAGACCGACCCAACCCTCACGCATTGGCTCTTTAGGCTAAAACCTTTCATTGCATTTCTTAAATCATAAAAATGTTTTTCAAACTTGTTTAAGTCATTAAAAACACTTGGTGTTTGCCCAAACCAAAAACCAAGCCATCCGACGTTCGGGTTTCAGAATCCGGCGTTCGGGTTTCAGAAACCGGCGTTCGGCATTCGGTTTTCGGCGTTGGTTTTTGGCGTCCGAACCAACCAAGTGGTTTTCAACCTTTTATGATTTGTTTTCACTCTTTGGCATGTTTAAACGGTTCTCCAACAAAAACACCTTGAAAACCATCTTTCGCTTTTGGTCGTTTGACAAAAATCATTCAAAACGGCATAAACTTGGCTAGCCGTGGTTTTCACTCAAATGACGTGGTTTTTAAAGTTTCTTGCTTGATTTCTTAGCCAAATGCATCAAATAAGTATTTTAAACACTTGGTTTTTATTTTGGAGAACTTTGAATTTTTTGGTCGATTTTCGCATCGGTTGGCTAGGGCGTGGTTAAGGCAAAAACCATGGGTTCCTGACTAAACCACCCACCCAGCGATGGGAAGATCTTCCCATCGATGGGTAAGCGGCCCCTTAGCCAAACCAATTTCCAGAACCATGCCAAACAGCGATGGGAAGCTCTACCCATCGCTGTTAAAGCCTTGGTGCAATATTAACACAAGGCAGAACGACCTTGCCCAGCGATGGGAAACCTATCCCATCGATGGGAACCCAGCGATGGTAAGGGTAAACCATCGATGGGAAGCCATGACCGTTGTAGGTCATTTAAGGTTGATTCTTTCCTTGTTTGGAAGTCAACCTCCCAACCAGCGATGGGAAGCTTGTACCCATCGATGGGTAGGTGACCATTGACTTCAAATCTGAAAGAAAAATTGGCTTACCAGCGATGGGTAAGTCCTAAACATCGATGGGAAGCCAATATCCTACAGATCACAACTTTACTCAATCCCATAAATCAAGCCAATCACCCCTTTAATGCATTGGTCCGTTGGAGCCTATTTTGGCACTATAAAAAGGGGTGTTTGGGTCTGCTTTTCTCACGAATTCACTTCACAACATCTATACTTTCATTGCATTCAAATATCATCATTTTCCATAGCTTTCTAGAGCCATTTTGTGTGAAGGTTGAGTTGTTCTTGAGCGTACCTAGTTTACTCATAATCTACTCTATACGAGAGTCTCGTTCTTGAGTGTACTTGTGTTATTAGACACGTTGAGAGAAAGTATTTCTCTCGGTTGATTCAAAGGAAGGTCTGTTTCCTTTGAAGGATTCGTTGAGGTTCGTGTGACTCGAACTCTCAAGTTGTAACGGTTTGTTAAGCACCCGCAAGCTTAACGAGATAGTAGTGTAGCTCGAGAGAGTCTCTCGGGAGGCTGGATTAGCCACAAGTTGTGGTGAACCAGGGTAAAATT